CTATGATCATTTGTCTGAAATTCAGATGAAAGACAAATTCGGCAAGGAATGTAAGATATGTGAACGGCCATTCACTAATTTCCGATGGCAACCAGGAAAGGGTGCACGTTACAAGAGCACGGAGTTATGTCAGACTTGCGCCAAGGTGAAGAATGTGTGCCAAACGTGTATGTTCGATCTGGAATATGGCAAGTTTTTTATCAAACATTACTTCTTTGGTTGAACATCTTTCAACGCTTTTTCTAGCATGAAAATACGTTTTCTTTACTTTGACTTTAATCAAAGGGCTATGCAAGCGATGTAGTGTGGAGTCTATTTTAGGATAGTTTAAGTTCAGCGGTTATCGGAATTATGTGGAACAGAACCTTACCTGTTCCTATTCTCAGAATGAGTTCCATACTTTCTAAAATTCTATGTATTTAGGACTTCCTGTGCAAGTTCGTGATGCAGCTCTTCAAATAGCCGATAATATCCCTCGCCAAGGAGCCAACAGGGATTTTTACCTTCAGAACGCAGAGCGGTGTGTCTCACAACTGTCCTTTTAACTTGACGAACTTATTGAGGAAACTCTTCAGAGCTCTTGCGAACACTGACGGCACGACACCAATAGGAGCACTAGCTAACATTGGTGACACCGCTGGAACAGAAATGTTAAAGCGGCTTGCGCGGACGGCACCATATTACAAACGAAATGCACCTCACATTTGTTCATTCTATGTGAAGGGTGAATGTAAGAGAGGAGAAGAGTGCCCATATCGGTAAGGATTTTTTAGCCCTTATTAATGGTTCCATTTTTGAGTGAAGCTCAGTTCTCTAGATTGTTATGGGAAAAGCTCATGTGGTTCAAATTTTAGCCACGAGAAACCATCTGATCCTGATGACCCATTGTCTACTCAAAATATCAGAGATCGATATTATGGAAGCAATGATCCTGTAGCAGAGAAGATTCTCAACAGAGCCAAGGTAACTTTCTTTTAATGAAGATATTTCCTCCTTAGGTAGTGTTAGTTGTGTTCCGAAGTTGTTATTTTTTTTTCGTGGCAAAAGCGAAAGATTTCGTGCTACTTCTACAGATTTCAATTAAATACTTTTCTATGGCTTGACTGTTTTGATTACGGTATTTATAGGCCATGCCAGCGCTAGAACCTCCCGCAGATACTACGATAACTACGTTATACGTGGGTAATCTTGGACCAGCCGGACAAATAACGCAGAAAGATTTGAAGTTTGTTCGAATAACACTGCTACAATATCTGTTTCTGAGCTTCGAAACCCTTATTTCAACCATTTTCAGTGACTACTTTTATCAGTTTGGCGACATCCGAAGTTTACGCTTATTGGAGGCGAAGTCTTGTGCGTTTATACAGTTTACCACACGAGAATCATGTGAAATGGCTGCTGAAAGATCGTTTAATAAACTGTTTCTAAAGGTGAGTGGGTAATGATGTTTCTTGAAAACATCTTAATTTTAGATCTTCGAAGTCCCTCAGTGTAGTGTTTTTTATCTCCATGAAAAATACCGAATAAAAAGTCATCTTTATTTAGTAGTATTTTAATTTCAGGGTCGTCGTCTAGTTATTCGATGGGGGACGCCAAAGCCACATAAAAGGGAATGCTTCAGCGAACCATAAACCCAGTACCTTCGTTACCGAATCGTATGTCAATGCATGAAATTTTTGCCACGATAATCTTTGTGTCCAGATCAACAGATTTATTATTATGCTTTCAGCATGCCCGGTTCCTGATGATTTGGCTCCATCCAGCTCTAAACGTCAACGTATTGATCCACTCAACATACCTCTTCCACCCTTACCACCTAGCTTTGCTCCTCCATCGAAGCTTGTTGTTCCTCCATCACGGCCTCAATAAAAAAAAAAAACCAGTATGTTTTCCCTTACCGGAAAAACCAATCCAAAGCTTGTTGGGCATTAACTTTTATGTTTGCTTTTTGGTGTGCATGCAATGAAAGAGCTTCTCGAGGAATGGCCGATGTCAGACTCTGCGATTGGAGCGATCGGTCAAATGTCAATCGCGCGACCATCGCGCGATTCGCGCGACGATCGCGCGATTGACATTTGACCGATCGCTCCAATCGCAGAGTCTGACATCGGCCTAAATTCATGGGAAATATTGCTACACTTTTATTTCCAATTGATAGGCTGAGTCGTTTTTCCAACCACATCTAATCAATTGTAGGTGCATCTACATCTACAGCAGGATCTAGCACTGACAGCAGTGCTGGCAGCTCCGGTCGAACAGGTGGCATATACTATCCAAGCAGGGATCCACAACGTTTAGGAGCGAAAGGAGATGTAATCGAAGAGTAGTATACTTTCTCTTTCCTTGAACGTGTATAACACAGTGACCCCATTAATTTAAAAAATATTTCGAATGACTAGTTTTTTGTTTTGAAAAATTGTCACCTCGCTTTCTGTGTCACGGTTTTGTTTCCTTGTTGTTGAGTTGAAGTATCTCACGTTCACTATTGCGATTCTATACATATTTCTTTCCATTGGAATTTGTTAATTGTTCGCGTCATTCATTCCAATGGGTTGGGTGGGAGCCATAGATCATTTCCAACGAGGACATTGAAGCATAGCCTTTCCTATCATGAAGCCAGACACGTATTCTGAGAAGGCAACTTTACAGTAACTGCTTTGTGGAGAAAAAAGAAATATGTATGGAAGAGGTGTATACATGGATAAATAAACATTCAATCGGTCAGCAACTTTCACGACGGCACAACTTGAAGGG